TCTATATGAAATAAATTGTGAAAACATTAACAAATTACAAATATAAGAAAGTAACACGGGACCGAATATTTGTTGAATCGTCATTGAATTATACTTTGATGAAAAATATGGACTTTATGGGGTCTCCAATTTACAATTTAAATGACAAATAAAATTAGTTCCCATATTACGGCAATGGGTGTAAAATAGGAATTATATTTGACTATTCTGAAATCAGTCTGACCTCAATTATGAGGTGGATAAAACTATTTTTACTTATTTAAATCACGTGATTTTTTTTTAGTTTGACATGCTATGTTGATCTGCTATATTTTCGATTTGGCCTCTATTTGTCATCTTGGATTATAAGGGGTGAAGAAAGTTTTCAATGTAGGTCGATGTTTCGCATTTTACCATATTTCAAAGGATTTGGCTAAAAATGTGAATTTGGGGGGTGAAAATCTTAAACAAAAATTTTAACATATCTAAAAATTTTAGAATTTTCTCCATGTAATAGTATCCCCTCAAGTCCACCTTTTGGCGGACAAACAGACCGACATGGTTAGGGGGACTTATGAGGACTCCAATGCACAATCTGAGGTGCTAATGGGTTTAAAAAAGTAATTAACTTTGGATATTCTTAAATCAATTAGCCCTCAATTATGAGGTGTACAAAGTACAGTAAATTCCAAATTACTGCTCATTTGACTAAAAATTAAAAACTAATTGACCAGTACGTGAACATTTATAACATTCATATCTTTGACAAATATGCATAATAGACAAAAACAACGGGCCGGCAACGCGGACCGGGCCAGCTAGTATACATATAAATGTGATGAGACGGAGTAATGGTCACATGCATAACGCAAAAGCCAAACAGATGAAGTACATAATATATTGTTTTCAGTGGTATTATCATTAAGCAGGGACGTAGCCAGCATTTCATTTCAGGGGGTGAGACAACCTTCCAGCCTGATACCAGATTTTTTATGAATATTTTAATTGAAAAATTCAAAGTAGTTTTGGCTTTGTTTTTATACCCTACAACACTATGTGTTGGGGGTATTATAAGTTTGATTGGCCCAAAAATTATGTAACACCTCGAAATATTGGTTTCCCACATAGGAAAGTATATATGGATCTTCCTAGCTCGCCGAGCTGAGTCGATATAGCTATGTATGTCCGTCCGTCCGTCTGTCCGTCTGTCCGTCTGTCCGTCTGTCCATGTTAATTTGTAATCACTCTACAGGTCGCAATTATGGCCCGATCTTCACGAAATTTAGAATGGAGGTGGGACTGGGGTCAGAATAGAACCCTATTTCTTTTGGAGATGATCGCCAAATGTTTAGGGGTTGAAATGGACCAAATACTGAAAAAATGTCGGATTTTGCAGTAGCTATACAGGTCGTAATTATAGACCAATCGACGCGGAATTTCGCATGTAGCTAGAGTTTAGGGCGGGGAAGAAGCCTACCAATTTGGGTGGTCATCGGATAACATTTAGCGGGTAAAATAGACCATATCTTTTGTGTTGAAAAAAATCAAAATTTTTCATTAAACCGTGAATATTTTAAATCCCGCCGAAATCACAAAGCCATCACAAGGTTACTTCTGATCTTTACATTGATGTTAACATCCAACAAATCGGATATATAGCAAAATATGTGCGATATATATGTTTATCAAAGAAGATATGCTTGAAAAATCTCTTATATGTCCAGAACGGCTGAACTGATTTCGAAAGTTCTCATGAATTCAGAATGGCCTCTTGGCAAGAAACATAAAACGTCTAAAAAAATCGCATAAAAATATCTCTCTAAAGATGAAAATATTGATTTTGTAATATTTTCTCATATTTTTTCAATTTTGTCACATTTTTGGCATATTTTGATTTTGAATTAAACATTTGGTAATATTTCTACAGCTAACAAAACCAAGTAGTTAGGATATCAGAATATCATATACAGATCGCATTTATTGCCCGATCCTTACGAAATTTTGCATGGAGATAAGATGAGGGTCAGAATAAAAGCCTACTCTTTTTGGAGATGATCGCCATATATTTTGGGGTTGAAATGGACCAAAAAACTGCAAAATTGTCAACAGGTTGTAATTATTAGGTTTACCGGACATTGCAAAAGCCAAGCAGTTTTGGATGGCCATCCAAAAATATTCAATGTGTGAAGGAGTTTGCCAACTTTTTTAGACAAAATACGAAAATGTCCATTCCAGTCACTTTTTGGAGAATTCACAAATACAGGAAAGACACACTACTGACTATTTCGTTAACGCTGATTTCGTTGAAGAATATAGTCAAATGTCTGTATCTCATATAGATGCGTTTCAGTCAAAAACCAATAATAAATGTTAATCTTTTGCCACTTCTGAGAGATTATAGGTCTTTGGGAAATATTGGTTCCAGATCTAGGAAGACCATTTAAGTGCAACATCTACCAATAAATTGGAAATGAGCAAATTAGTTTAAGTTGTTATTTTTCGAAAATTAGAGAACGAAACCTGATGATTTTCTTTAATTATTTGTCTCAATATCTTGTGGAATTCTGTCGAGTACTTCGCCTATATAAACTGTATGGTTTATTATAGTGTTGTAGGGTATTCAACGGTCGGCCCCGCTCGACTGTAGCCTTTGCTTACTTGTTAAACAATTAAATTAATTTTTTTACAGAGTCTGTTTTATTACAGACTTTATGTTTTCACCTCACATTGAAATTTTAAAAATGTTTTATAAAATTTAATGATTTTGCCAATATAATTGTATATTATATTAGAACGGGTCCTCGTTATATTATCTCGATTAAGAAATCTGCGTTTAAAATTGAAATTAATTTGTCTAAGTAATGTCCTTTTATTGCAAGCCCAATTAAAGAATCAAATTTGCATATCCTATTTCAAATTTTGTATATATCATTTGGTACAGCCAAAATGTGCCTCATCGAAATAACGATTTTAGACCCCTCTCTTTGGACCACATGTCTGTCTGTCTGCTGGCTGGTACGCACGATACTTATTGAAGGGTCTATCCGATTTGGACCAAACTTCTTAAATCGTAATATTATTATCAAATTTATTTCGAACTCAGATATGGTCCACTCCTTCTGGTCCCTCCCCCACAAAAGGCCAAAATTTTCAAAAAAATATACTTCAATGTACAGAGAGAAAAATGATAATCCGAGTTTGATCCAACTTTGCAAGTCCTAATATTTGCATCAGTCAGGTGAGAAAATGGAAAAGGTCAAACTTTTGAATAATTATAACTCTAATAAATTGTGATATAAGAGTCCGATTGTCTTCAAATTACACACATCATAATATTGTTTATTAACCCAAGGTCAGGTGTGAAGATGAAATATATCGGTCCACCCCTTTTGGTAATTCCCCACAAAGGGTCAACATTTTGAATATTAAATTAAATAATGCGAAAAATTAACATCCGATTCCATTCATACTTGGCACATCTCAATATTTCTATCAAAACAAAATCTGTTATAAAGATAGTAGAAATCGGACCATTACTTCTGGTACCTCCTCCACAATGCGTCAAAGTTTTGAATAACCAAAATGATTATAAAATCCGATGTAAGCATTCGGTTCACTTCACATTTCACACATCCCACATCCCTGTCACAAGATCTGTTGTGAAGATGATATATATCTGCGAATACTTTCTGGTACCTTAACCACAAAGGATCACAATTTTTAATACTTTTATCTTTCATAACTTGCAAAACAAATCAGCGATGATTTACAAATGACTATATCTAAATATATATCTCAACCAGAAACCAGAGATGAATGTGGAATTAATGATTTCCCATAAAATTGGATATAAATGTTCGATTTTCTTGTAATTTTGCCAATACCGAGTATATGTTGTATATCACGCACATTTACAATTTTTCTAAACATTATCACATATTTCATACAAAGTGAAGGAAGTAACTAATAATCAACAATTTGTATAATCATAGCAGAAGTCCAAAATATTTTTAAATAATGGAACATTGGATGAGGGTATACATCTGTCGGTGAAACAGACTTATAATTTTAAACTTGTTTCCAATTCATTTTTGAAATAATGCTATTCATTTCTTTAAATTATTAAATTCCTCTGTATGATTTGCTGTATCTCCGGTGATATCGGCAATTTTAGTATTTTTTCACACAAAAGTTGAGGTCCATTTGGCGTGTAAAAATAGTATCCGATGGCCATCCAAGAAACATCGATTGGACTTAACCTGTAGAGCAACTGTAAAATCGGTAAATTTTTAATTTTTGGTCCGTTTCAACGTCTTAACATTGTGCAATAATATCCAAAAAATAGGCTTTTATTCTGACTACAAAATTTCGTGAGAATCGAGTCATATATGCGAACTGTTTATCGATGTCTGTCTGTTGAAAACACTATAGAGTCCACATGAATTTTTTTCATAAAGGTTTATATTATATGCAGGCTGTTTGGTATTGAAAATAGGCAACCTTGAAGGTTTCTGCCACAATTTCCAACTAAATTAGATGAAATTTGGCAATTGGGGTTCTCGGTTGATCATTTCAAAAACTGTTCGATGCAGGTCCGCTAATTGGTATAGCTTCCATATAACCTACCTCACGATTTGCGGTATTTTGAAATTTGAATTTCCAACTGATGAAACTTTTCATTATTTCATTTTCGTTTGATAAACATAGTGGCGGAGGGAATAAAAAATGGTCCCGTCGTAACGTAAAGTTCTCTTTTACTTGTTTTTTTTAATCCTGATAAAAAAGTCGAACGTTTCCGTGATCTACGAAAATGCAAGCATATTTTCGAGATAATGGAAAATATATTCCGAATACCTGGAACCTTCGAAACAGAGTTTAAAATTTAGTTTAGAACAGGCGAAAAGCATGACCAGATTCTTAGCTACGTCGGTGTCATTAAGCACAGGTTCTTATCAAACAATGAAATTTATTTTTGTTTTAAAAACCCAACAATTTCTTAGATTTCAGTTCGTAAATCATAACAAGTGTTGACGGTTCTGAAAGCGGTGGCAATTTTGAATCTATAAAAAAAATATGAATTATATTAAATGGTCTTCATATTTTATTTTCATTATATTATTGTATTTTAATATTTTGGAACAATGCAATATGGAAGTGGTATGTAAAGGAATTTAGTGGTGTCAAAGTTAAATGAATATTGATATATTTAACTATTATTAATTAGATTAATGTATTTGTGTTTCGATATAGTATTCGAGCAGTATATATTTTTTTCTGTTATCAGGAATGTGTAAAACAAAATTTCGATAAAAGCTATCTATTTCGAAAGAAATGCTTTTAAAGGCAAAAAACGTTATGCATTAGCTATTATCTTCTTGGCCACATTTGTTTAAACAGCTCACGGACGTTTCGTGATTGGTTCCACTTTCAAACATCTTCAGTTTGGACTATAACTTAACGACGAATCGTCGTAAAAATGCACAACACTTGAAAATCAGTGAATTTTTATTTCTCATAGCGTGATTCGTCCATTTTATGGCAAATCTCATTATACCCTACACCACATAGTGGTAAGGATATTATGTCTTTCTGTATTTGTTTGAAACATGGAGAAGGAGGAGAGGTAGACCCATAGTTACTTTTGAGGATCTTCACGTAGTCACTTTCTGAGCCAATTTATGCATGCCGGTCAGTACGTTCGTTCAAGTATTTTTGAAATTTTCTAAACAATATTTGTTTGGTCCAGGGACGAACCCTATTGAAATCGGTAAGAATCGGTTCAAATTTAGATATAGGTCCCGTATATAGCTTCAATATATTTCGGGTTATTTGTGCCCAAATGACCAATGTCAGTCCAAATGTCCTGAATTTTGGCACATCCGACCGAATTCAGCATAGAAGCAAGTACTTCAAAGTTTGGTGAAAATCAATTCAAATAAAGCTATAGCTCCCATATCTATGTGTCATTCAATTTGGGATTTAAAGTCCCTCAGATTCGTATTATGCACTCCACAAGAATGATATTTGGTACCAGATACAGCCCAGAAATACCTTTATCAAAATCGGATCAGGTTAGAATATAGCTTCAATATATATCTTTATCTGATATCAGGTTTCATGTGCACCAAAGAGGAATATCAGTATCAGTACAAATGACCTGAATTTCGGTAATTTAGACTGAATTCATCCTAGAAATATGTACTTCAAATTTGGTGAAAATCGGTTTAGATATAGCTATAGCTCCCATACATATATATTTTATCCGATTTGGCGTTAAAGTCCCCCACATTCGTAATATGCACTACACAACAATAATCTTTGGTAACAGATATCAAATACTGCTCAAAATTAAGTGTTTAAAATTTTGTCAAGATTGGTCAGTTTTAGATATGGTTATCATATAAATCTTTATCCGATTTCATGTTTTTGTGCACCAAATGACTAATATTACCCAATTGTACTGAATTTTGGAACTTCCGATGGAGTTTGACCTAAAAGCAAGTGCTTCAAATTTTGTTTAAAATCGGTTCGGATATAGATATGGCGTAATATGCACTCCACAACAATGATGTTTGATACCGTGCATAATATACTACTCCAATTCTGCCAAATTTTATCGACATTGTTTCAGATTTTTATATACCTTCGATATACATCTTTATTTTACGGATATTGCTCAACATATATGTAGTATCAGCCTAAATTTAATACATTTTTTTTTTTTAAATTCAAACGAATTTTTCCAATTTGGTGAAACTCGGTCCGGTATGTCTTTGCTTCAATAAATATTATATAATATAATCCTTATCGAAGTCATGCACTATACAGCAATGTTATTTGGTTCATATTTGGTATGATCTACTTCACATAAATTCTTAATATAAACTTATTTGTTACGGAAGCTCTACTAAATACGCATGGTGGTGGAGGGTATAATATAGACGGCCAGTTCGACTTTTAAATTTTCCCTACTGGTTTTTAGTTCAATTGGTAATTGATATTCGGGAACTTCAAGAAATGTTCTTCAATTCATCACAATAACTGGCTTAAAGTCCCAGATTTTAAGAATATCTAATTAGGTCAAATTTTCACATTATAATATTTCCTCAATAATTAATTTTAACAATTGTTTATATTTTTTACCCTTTTTCAGATTTCACCAAAGTTTTGCGAATCAGATGACATGGAAGGCTTGATTCGTTGGTACAGTGATGTTTATAAATTTGTAAAATCTAATGAAGATTTGAATAAACGCCTAACTGAACTAGAGGGTGAAATTAAAAGACTCAACAGAAAACTTGAACATCAAGAGGAACACATAAATGGTGAAATCGTCATACAACGACGCATGGATGGCTCTGAAAACTTTTATCGCGTATGGGAGGACTACAAACATGGCTTCGGCAATCAAAGCAGAGAGTTCTTTATTGGTCTACAACGTCTGCATAAACTCACCAATAGTCGGCGCTTTGAGTTGTGGGTGGTCATGGAGGATTTTGATGATGTTCGTCGTTATGCCAAATACGATAATTTTGTGGTAGCGAGTGAAAAGGAAAACTATAAATTACAAAGTTTGGGCCAATACGAGGGTACAGCTGGTGATTCTTTGACCTATCATTTGGGTTATAGTTTCACCACTAAAGATCGAGACAATGACGTTGATCAAGGCAACAATTGCGCTCAGTTATATGTGGGTGCTTGGTGGTACAAAAGCTGTCATGCCTGGTAGGTGACTGAGAAATTTCGGAATGGAAATTTTTGGATGCATAAGAATCATTCTTCTCTTTTACAGTAATCTAAATGGCGAGTATTTAAGGGGCTCAACCACACTCTATGGTAGAGGAGTTATTTGGAATGCCTTTCGGGCCCTTTATTATTCTTTGAAATTTGTTGAATTGTCCATACGTCCTAAATTATTTTAATGCTTATTAATTGAAAGGCAATATTAATTATATGCTACTAACTTGCATGCAATTAAATAATGTTTTTTTTAATGGAGGATACAGTATGTTGGCCTTTCAGTTTTTTACTTATTGAAATAATCACTTATATTAAGGTACTGGGGATTTTGCGTTGGATACGTTAAATCAAGTGGTTTTTATCAAGGCTGTGGTTTTTATACTCTCCACCATAGTATGGAGGGTATATTAAGTTTGTCATTCCGTTTGTAACACATCGAAATATACATTTTAGATCCCACAAAGTATATATATTCTTGATCAGCATAAAATTCTATTTCGATTTAGTGTCCGTCCATCTATCCGTCTGTGGAAACCACTCTAGCTTCCGAACGAAATATAGTAGGTTGATAAAATTTGACTCAAATTATATTATAATGATTTCCGACATAGGAAACTACATATAGATCTTCCTATCTCGCCGAGCTGAGTCGATCTAGCTATGTATGTCCGTCCGTCCGTCTGTCCACGTTAATCTGTAATCAAGCTATGGCCCGATTCTCACGAATTTGAAAATGGAGGTGGGGTCAGGGTTAGAGTACAACCCTATTATTTTTTGAGATGAGCGCAAAATTTTTAGGGGTTGAAATCGACCAAAAATAGAAAAAATTCTTGATTTTGCTAGTGCTCTACAGGCCACAATTATAGATCAATCAACGGAATTTCACATAAAGTTAGAGTTTAGGGGTGGGCAGAAGCCCACCAATTTGGTTGGTCATCGGACCATATTTAGCGGGTAAAATAGACCAACTTTTATGAAAGAAAGTAAGAACATTTCCACTAAACCGCGAATATTTTTAATCCTGGCGAAATCACAAATTCACCAAATGTCACTTCTGACCGTTACATTGATGCTCATATCCAAGATATCGGATATATAGCAAAATATATACAATCTCATATAACAAAGAAAGGGATGGTAGTTAGACTTCTTATAAGTCAAGAACCGCTGGACCGATTTTCACAATTTTCACCAATTCGGAATGGTATCTTGCCAGAAAAGGATAAAATTAAAGAAAATCGTCACTATCACTATGAGTTGAGGGTATTATATACAGGTCGCAATTATCGTTCGATCCTCACGAAATTTTGCATGGGCGTAGAGTTAGGGTCAGAATTAAAGCTTACTCTTATTGAGATGTACATTTAGGGGTTCAATGACAAAAAAATTAACATTTTCCTAATTTTGCAGTCGCTCTACATGAGGAGAAATAGCATTTTGGATGACCATTGGATTATATATACCTGTCAAATGGACCAAATGTGATTTTTTTTTGGGTACATGAGGGAGTGCGTAAATAATAGTAACATCTGGACAGGGCTCTATAACATTATATCAAAATCGAAATATTCCAAAATGAATTTTGATATAAGGAGGCTTCCAACATATTGTAGTGTTGTAGGATATCACATGGTCGGCCCCACACGACTGCTTACTTGTTTATTAATATAAATTATATTTTATAGTACTACCGTACAATAGTACAGGGTTGCCCATATTCGCCGGACCCATCTGGCAACGCCATAACTTTTGACAGAGATGTCACATCGCTTAATGACATGAACCAGTACATGCCACGCGAGCGCTCTGAAATAGTTGAAATTTACATTCAACAGAAGAAGTCAATTGTGAAAAAAATGTGAGAAGTGCGACTTCACCATTAAGCGTTTATACGAAAAATTTTCGACAGAGCCTTTCTAATCCGAAGAGGCCATATAAAAGTCGACTAAGGCGATCGGCCGAGAATATCGCTGCCGTACGAGCCAGTGTTGAGAGGTCCCCAAGAACATCCCAAAACATCTCAGCAGTTGGGAATGGCTCGGTCCACTTTACAACGGATTATTCGCATTGATTTGCATTTGTTCCCGTACAAAATTCAATTGACGCAAAGAATGTTGCCTGCGGACAAGCCTCGTCGATTGGAATGGGCCCAAAGATCCGTCGAATATGGGCAACCCTGTATATGATATATTTATGCTATACATATGTATACATTTTTCTGATAAAGTCAATTCATATATGACTCCGAATGTCTCACAAGTCTCTTATAGGGAGGTTCAAGACATCTTCTTTGAATAGAAGACCACCGAAGAAATTGCCATAATGTACCCTATGCCTCAAAATATTTCTTTCCACACAACCGCAACCCCTCCCCGTCCCCCGTTAAACATTAGTTTTCTAAGTTTGTTTTTTTTTTTGTTGTAAAATCTCCAAGATCTAAATGGCTTTTCAATATCGAACGGAAAAACAACTATCCATTTTTAAGTTGCTTCCTTAGTGTTTTTCCTTTGTTTCTATTGTTTTAGCACGACCATATATTAGTTTTTACCACATTTTTATGTTTTCGCCAGGTAGCCTAAGGTGTTACTATTTGGGGTTCCTCCCATTTTTGTCTGGCCAGATATAAGAAATTTATTTCGCTGACGAAAACAAAGCAACTTTAACCTTTACTCTGCGATAAAGAAATGCAAAGGAAAAACAAAAAAAAAGGGAGGTCTATATATTTTACAGGCAAAACTTGAACCTGCATATTTTCGTAGTATTTTTGCAAGCCGTGGATGAGGGTGGCAGCGGATAAGCTGTTCATGAAATTGCTTTCGACTGCATTCGAAATGTGTTGTTGTTTTCCTGTTCGGACTCCTTAGACTGGCTGAGGAGTATTGTTATTAGGTTATGTTTACTTGCCATACTCTTTCCTATCATTTACTGAAAATCTTTAACATCTGCCGCTGGTTTCGTTTGCGCTATGCTGAGGAGACCTTTGGTCGGTCTGTTTGTCGGTTGTTCGTTCCTTCGGTCGTTAATATGTTATTGGCAACATCATCATTATAATAATGGCTGGCATTATTTACACCTTTAGGTACATATAAAGGAGGAGTTTATCTTTTAGAGAATACAGCTTGAACCTAAATTTTGGTAGATTTAAAACATTTGCTCTAAATATTGGGTTTGAGATTTCTTCGATTTCATTTGAGCTATAATTTGGAAAACTTTGAGAACACTCTGTACCTTGAAGTGATTTGATAATATCCCTGGATTTTGCTCGAAGAACAGAAGTAAACTTAACTTTTAAATCTGTGGTCTACATAATTTCATTCCCCTTGGCATCTCTGGCTTATCCTTATCGTCATCACCTACATCGTCATGGTCATGGTCATCATCATTGTTATCATTAATATTTTCAGTGTGTGTTACTGGTTGCCAATAATTTACCAACATCGATTAACTATTCGAACGTGATATGGTTATTTAAGGGTTGCACTTTAGATGCTTAACTTAAAGCTGAATTCTCAATGACACAGGGGTTGCGGTTCAGTCTTAGCGTGGCCTTACGAAGAAGGAACTACCAACCACATGACACAGCTGAAAATGAAACTGCCCAGGATGATGATGATGACGAAAGCGACAATGTGGTGGAAGTAATAAAAATCTGTCACAGTGGAAGTCAGTAAAACCTTTTACATTAAATACTGGTGCATGATGATACACCAAGTAGATTTGCACAGTGTGTGTTATGCGAATCGTTTTTACTTTTTGGAAACCTGATATTTATATTACACTCCTAATATTACTCGGTAGTTTGGTGTCACTACAGCATTCGAGAAGGTATGATGAAAGCGGCTGCAAGGTTCATGATATATAGAAAATTGATCTCTGTTGTTCAAACAACGGAAGCTTTAGGCAGTTCTTCGATGCTTTGATAAACTTTAAGATTCAGGCCAACTACTTACTCGTTTCTTCAGGTCCTGTGGTCCTGTTTACGTATTAGAGTCATATGTAAGGAGACTTTTTCCACTTTCCTCTTTGTAAGATGGGTTTCTCGTCGGCTGAGGGAAGTTCCGTCGCAGCCAGGGTTTTCATAAGAAACCACTAAACCTATATGCAATGAAAAGAGTAGAACTCTCCCTTTCCTAGAGGTAAAAAGTAAAAAAGCAGAAAGTTCGGCCGGGCCGAACTTTGAATACCCCTCCACCATTTGGAACGAAATAGAAAATTTTCAAAAAAATATAATCCATTAAAAATTCTTTCAAAATTATTAAAATATCTAATATAGGAAGGTGCCGATATATGGGGGGATATACGATATCGTGGACCTATAAATACAAATCTATATCTGGGTGTAAATATAAATACAAATCTATATCTGGGTGTAAAGTACTCACAAGGAACTCCTTGTGTGGATTTTCAGATAATTCCATTGGAAAATGTGGCTAAAATCATCAAAATACCGAATATAGGGGAGTACCGTTATATGGGGAATATACGATATTGTGGACCTATATAGACAATTCTTTTTGAGGGGGTGAAATGCCCACAAGGGACTCCTTTGTGGAATTTCAAACAATTCCCTTGAAAAATGTGGCTAAAATCATCAAAATACCGAATATCGGGGGTATCGTTATATGGGGGCTATACGATATCGTGGACCTATATAGATAATTCTCTGCCGAGATATAAAATACCCACAAGGAAATCCTTGTGTGGATTTTCAGACAATTCCGATGAAAAATGTGGCTAACATCATCAAAATACCGAATATCGGGGGGTACCGTTATATGGGGGATATACGATTTCGTAGACCTATATAGACAATTCTTTTTGAGGGAGTAAAATGCCCACAAGGGACTCCTTTGGTGGAATTTCAGTCAATTCCATTGGAAAATGTGGATAAAATCATCAAAATGCTGAATACCGGGGGGTACCCTTATATGGGGGCTATACGATATTGTGGACCTATATAGATTATTCTCTGCCGAGGTATAAAGTACCTAGAAGGAACTACTTGTGTGGATTTTCAGACAATTCCATTGAAAAATGTGGCTAACATTTTCAAAATACCGAATATCGGAGGGTACCGTTATATGGGGGCTATACGATATGGTGGACCGATATAGCCCATCTTCGAACTTGACCTGCCTGCAGACAAAAGAGAGATCTGTGCAAAATTTTAGCTTCCTATATTAATTCGTTTAGACTGTAGCGTGATTACAACAGACGGACGGACAGGGCTAAATCGTCTTAGAATT